TACGAGCCCGAAGTCAAGGCCACAAAGGAGCAGAACCAGTTGTACGATATTGTCAAGCGATTTGGAAATGTGAGGTCCAACAGCAAGCACATGAAGGAGCTGAAAGCGTAATGACCACACCACATAACCTCTCATTTTGCTTTGCTCTTTTTACCATTCACCCTTTTTCTACTTTATAGATGGACGATGATCTGTTTACGTTTTATTTCTTTTTTTTTTACTTAGTAGACATGATTCTTTCATGTTATATCATTTTCATACAGCTCATGTTTGGACAGAACCAAGGTCATACAATGCAAATCGACGTACATCGACCTAGGTGATCTTGCTGAGTCCGTGGGGCCACTCGGTAAAATGTCGACGAATGTAGTTGCACGTGGGATTGACTTCATCAACAGGCATACGGAAATTTCTTCCGACAAAACAATCATGCATTACAGCGTGACCTGTAAAATATGGGATGGTGACTTCCACCACAAAATCCCGAGGAAGCATTTTGCTGCGCACGGTGAATTCAAGCTCATAATGAAGAAATGTATGAGTACTCCTTCCTTTTTTGCACATTTTTTCCTCCCATGGTATGTTTTTTGCCAGTAGCTACACCCTGTTTATGTGACAGTTGTTTCATGTGGCAACATCTGCCATGCATAAACTGACTTTTTGATTTGCATCCACATACAAACTATGTGGCAACTTCAAATTAAAATACATGGCAACTCTGTTCATACATGGATGGCAACTTCTTTTAACTACCCACTATAACTAAACATTCTATGTGATTCTACTTTTTTGGCCACTCGCTGCTTTATGTCACTCATGTGCCTCTTACTGCAACCGGTGATATCCTTACACGTCATTTTCCCAATCACACCATTTTCTGTTTCTTCATGTGGACTCTGCTTCTTATTTCCTTCGTTTTACTTGCAGGTCTTGTTCCCCATGTTGCAGGAGCTTACACCACATGATCCACACGACAAGTGTGGTCACCACTACACGATCTGTCTTGACCTGAAGAACCAACATTTTGAGGTGCTTGATTCAGTGCGTTCGGCAGCTGATGCAGACCTTACTATGCATGCTGAATACTTCATCAACAACCTCAAAGAGACATGGAACCGTCACTACGAACACTCAAAGGTCCAAATCAGACATTTTCCAATTGAGTACATGGCGACTACGAAGCAAGGGAACAAGTAATTTCCATCTCCTTTTTCATGTGCCCTCTACACCAATGGTAACCCTCTTTGTTACATCTGAATTGAAGTTTATCATCGTTATCTCTATCATTTTGCGAGTTCACCTAATTCTTTTTCTTGTATAGGATGGACTATGGCTTTCACATGTTGGAATACCTTGCAAAGTGGGAAGGTAGACTGGTTCCTGTTGTCACAGCTGCAATGGTCGTTGAGCTCCGAAAAATTTACACATGGAACTGGTTGACGAATGATGATTTCAACACGCGGTCCAGAGCACGTGATTTCATAGAGGAAGCTGTCAAGAAAGTGGCCAAGAAGTACAAGTGATCACGTGGTGCTCCATACCGAACACCTACCTTACATTCTGTTGCCGAGGAATGTAAGGTATTACCTTTGTTCTTTTCAAAACTATGTCCGTGTGCTATGTTATGACTGCAACCCCCCGTGTAGCCTAGTATGTAGTGGTGGTGTGTGAGTGACATTTCGAATATTTTCTGTAATATATGTGTGGATGTGAACCTATTTTAGGCGTGACAGCAGATACGTTTATGTTTATCATTATTATTATGCTTTCATCGTTGGTAGCACCAGTTTGGTGTTTTGAATGCATCTACGATGGTTTTAAAACATGGCAAATGTAGTTCATCAGACATGGTTAGTGAAAGTTATCGTCGTTTTTCATTTGTCTGTTTTTCTTCTTTTTTTTTCATCACTAACTGTACCAGCTAGCATGGTAGTTTGATCATGTAGCCGTAATCTGTTTCGCAGTTGCTGCATGTGACCCTTTTCAACTTGTTTCCCATAGTTTTGCACTCAATACACTATGTGTGACTAAAATGCGTTGATTGAACACGGAAATCTACGCGATGGAGAGTCATTACAAATAACATGGCATATTTCAGTAGAACTAACATGGTAGATTCGGTATAAACGACACGACAGCTTCAGTATAATTAGCATGGCAGATCCAGTATACATAACATGGCAGATCTAGTACACACAACATGGCAGATTCAGTATAAAATAGCATGGCAGATTTAGTATAAACTAGCATGGCAGATTCAGTGTACATGACATGGCAGATTCAGTATAAATAACATGACAGATTCAGTATACCTAACATGGCAACTGCAGTCATCCATTCATGGCATTTTCGTTCAAATTCTGATGCCCCTCAAGAGTCATTCTCCCATTTTTAAAACATTTAGAACATCTAGATTACAACAAAAAAATGTCACCAAGGACCACGTCACAGTGTTCCAATGTTGCTTACGGATTGCCCGGCCCTTTCTTTGTTTTCTTGTGTTTTGCTTGAATCTCCAATCCTGATTTGTATCTTATCTCTTTTGGATGCCCCTTTGTGATGGAATGGGGTGGGTTCCTGACCTGGGTTTGTGTGCTTGCTGTTCCAGATCCTACCTCCGAGTTTTCAGATGATGGCCCCGTGGACGAAGGCTCACTTGATGTGCGGGGGAACCTGTGTAAGGCTTCCTCAGCTTTCCTCTTCTTAATCTCATCAAGCTCTCTTTTCAGGGCCTTCCTGTGTTTTTCTACGACCCTCGTAGTCTCATCACTCTTGCATGCTTCATCAATTAGTTCAGCATAGTTCTTTGTCAACACAACGTGCCGCATGGCTTCCATGGTTGACTCCGGTCTCTCGTCATGCACAGCCAAAACTGTGTTTGATGTCTGCGGCGCCAATGCATCGTCAGCGTCCCAAGTCCATCTTCGCCTTATGAAATGGCGGGGCATCCATGTCACAGCGTTCATGTCCATTACTTTTAGTATGTGACGGCACACAATGCCGCCCCGTTTGAATTTGCAGCATTGGAAGTAGTATTCGCCTTGGCTTATCGAGGCTTTCACGAAGTAGTTCCTTCCTTTGTCCGGGTCTTCAGGTTCTGAATCCGACATGCCCAAAATAGAACACACCTTGAACGTATGTTCGTCCACCTGGAAAGCCATGCTGGCACGCTTTATTTCTTCCTGGAATCTGCAAGTTTTGTGTGTTTTTGTTAAACTCCTGTGTGATGTTTTTTGTAGCACCTTTTGTTGTCGTGGCCAATAGAAGTACATTTCGTTTGATCATGGCACAGTACAATACATTAAACATGGCAACTGCAGTTCATTAAACATGGCAACTACATTTCATTAAACATGGCAACTGCATTTCATTAAACGTTGGCAACTGCATAACATCTTTAATTGGCATTTGCATTTCCATACCAACATGCCCAAATGGTAGAATCGACAGTGTTCGCGGCCGTCGGTGGTGCTCGCCGGAACGGAGCGGCTTCGCCAGAGTGCCTGCGGATTGAAGCTAATGCTCGCTCCAACTCCCACAATCCCTTCCTGCATTCCCCCCTTCCCTCCCTGTTCGATTCCTCGCTCGAGATTCGTAGAGATTCAGGCGATTTGGCAGTGCGTCGACGTTCCCGCCGGCGGCGGAGTCCTGTGCGCTAGCCGTTTTCGGTGGCACGGGGCAGTTTCGTGGACGCCGCGGCGGCGCCCTCATCGGGGTGGTTATGCCTGTCCAGAGACACGCACTAGTTGGGCATTGGGATTGGGCAGGTGTCCTCCGGTTTGTTAGTTGCGAATTGGTTCGAATTGGTGTTTGCAATCAGTTCAGGGGAGAACTTTGAGGTTGAATTTGAAGTCACTATAGTTGCCATTGAACCCTAGATCTAGTTAGTTGTTTTTGAAACTGCATTATGAGGCAACCGTGGTAGTTTTGATTAGCTATCATGACTGTATGGCAACTACCTTCCTGAATGAATGCGATAATTGCCACAAACATGCTCCCCCATGCGGCAACTAACTTACTGAAATGACTGTGATAGTTGCCACAATCAAGCTTTCCCATGCGGCAACCAAGTTATTGAATGACTGTGATAGTTGCCACACACACGCTCTTCCATGTGGCAACTAATTTGCTGAATTACTATGATAGCAGCCACAAACATGCTGTTTCATTGTGGCAACTAATTTTCCTGAATGATTTGTGAATAGTTGCCACACTGTATGAATGGTAAAGTGTAGTAAATCGGTAGTCAATGAAGTTTCAGTAACCAACTGCATTGGACGGTAACTAACGTGCACATCAACCTTGCCTGTTGCCACATGGACAATATATTCTTGTGGCAAATAGAATGTGTACACACTGTGTCTATTGCCATATCGTAGACATGACAATGTGTCAAACTGGCTGCATAACATGGCAACCAATTTTGCACATCAAATTGTATCAGATGCCATACATATGCTTTCCATGTGGCAATTTTCTGTCCGACCACAACATGTCTGTTGCCATGTTACAGTCAGTACAATGTGGCAAAATCATTGTACTGCAGATGCAATTTTTGTGTTTTTGCCACAATGACTTGCGATATCTGAACACACTGTGGCATTTTTCAGGTTCTTTGATTAGATGTTTTTCATCGCTTTTTTGTATTACGTGTTGCATTTTTAACATGGCAATTCAACCCTAGCACATTTTTGCCGCTGAACAGATGGCATTTCATTGGTGTATTTTTAGGACAGGGTGTGAGCTGCCACATTTTAGTTTTTGTGATGTGGAGGATTTTGAGACTATCTATCGTACTATCTTTGGCTAACATGGCAACTTCAACATTTTGTTTTCAAGTGCATTTATGATATGTACACCCTTTTTTGGAAAATGCAACCAATGTGCTTACTTGCCACGTTTATGTTTTCGACAATCACATGAGGGGTGCGTGTGTGTTCACTAGTTGACATTTTCTGTTAGGTGGCAACTGCTTACCTCTTTGCATTTTTGTTTCCACTATGATAATTTTGGTCTGTTCCTATCTCAGCAGAATGGCTCATGGCGATCATCAAAATGATGACGATGATTTCATGGATCCACCACAGCATAATCGGGCAGCTGGACGGAGAAAAGAGGGTGATGAGGTAACTGTCCACACCCCCCTCTCCCCCCACCTCCTACTGCTTATGTTTCTGGATGCCACCTCGAGCTTTGCAGTCGTCTGTCATGAACTAAAATTTCATGACAGTGCAAAACATGGCAACAACTGATCCCTTTTTGTCTGTTTTTTGCAGAAGAAGAAACATATTCACAACAGAGCCTCTCAAGAACGACTGACTATGTTGACTGACAGATTTACCGACGATCTTAAAGGAGCTGCCGCTGAGATCGGCATGCAGGCTCTGATGAACGTCCGGTGCATGAATCTTGTCAACCCTGTATGCGACTGGCTTGGTGAGATTTACGACCCCGCCTCCAGGGAGTTTGTGATTCCGGGACATGGAAGACTACCGTTGAACGAGGAATCCGTGTTCTGCACTTTGGGTGTGCCTCGTGGACAGATGGAAGTCCCGTACGAGGTCAATAACGAGATCGAGCAAGCGCTATTCCCCTGTTTGTTTCCTGGGTTGGAATCCATGCCAAACACGTCTGTACTGGCAGATTCGCTGCAGGCAATGACAACCGACGGATATGTTTTTAAGATGAAGCTACTCATGTATCTCATCTCAGCTGTTTTCGCGCCGACCACTTCTCTTCGGCCAAGCAACAAATGCTTCCCCATCCTGGTGAATGGTCCATCCTTACTACTTTATTTTCCTACAATGTATTTGGATCCGATGTCATGTGTAAAGCTAGTCACTGCCAGTGATTTTTGATGTTTTTTTCCATTTGAATTTTGATGCGACAACTTGTTGCCCTGAAAATCTTGTGCGCTGCAGGCAAAGCTGAAAGATGTGAAGGACATGAACTGGTGTAAGTTCATAGCCGACTTCCTGCACGATGCATTCTCAAGCAAGATGTACCAAAAGGGTTGTCGACTGCATTTAATGGTATTTTTTTACCAGTCTTATTTTGTGAACACTCTTTTTTAACACCCTTTCATTCATGCATGGCAATCTGATCATAACAATATGGCAACTGCTATAATGACAATATGGCAACTGGTATAATGACAGTATGGCAACTGCCATCATATTATGATGGCAATTTCCATCATGACAATATGGCAACTACCATTACACTATGATGGCAATTAGCACATACATATGGCACTTAGCACATACATATTAGTACAATGACAATATGGCAACTGATATTTTCTCTCTTTTTAAAATTGTTGTACATCAGCTCATGTACGTCGACTGTCTTGATCTGTCCACCGTGGATTTCACTGGGATAGGAGGCCCGCCTCCTACGCACAAGTTTGCTGTTTGTGCATGGACTATCAACGCTGTCAAGGCTGTGCTTGCCGCAGACAGGGTAACTGATACCAAGTATGGAAAACTACAGGTTAGTTCTGGTTTCTTTCTCCACACGGCATGCTTACAAATTTGACATGAGGCAACCGTCTGTGGTTCATAAGAGATGACTACCTCTGTTATCCATGGCTTTCTGTGTATTGTATTCATGTCTCACTCCACACGACAACTCTATCATTTGTGTGAAACTTACATTCTCTCTCTTACATCCTAGCTGTTTTTTCTGTTTTTTCCAGCTGATGGCCAAGCATGCTATAGACTACAACGTGTTTGGGGGGCCTCAGAACTTTGGAAAGTGGATGGACATGCACTCAGCTCTGTCTTGCCCGACTGAGGTAATCAAAAGATCTACATCTATTTGTTGCCTTGGATTATTTTTGATGTCGCGCAAGTGACTGTATTATGGGGTGGTTATTTCTCCTTCTTTGTTTCGTGCACAGGCGAGGGCACCTGTTGAGCATCTAATTGGGCAGTTTGCATCCGGAATGACTGGCTTGCTCGGGAAGTTGGTTGAGGGGTGGACGTCTCTTAGTGGCTCTGACAGTGACGCGGTTGCGAGGCAGTTCACTTCGTTTGTCCCAGAACGGACACATCGGCCAACTGGTTGCCGTGGCCGGTATGACTACAACAGTTCCCAAGAGCTTGCTGACACACAAGATGAACTAGATGGAGACGCTGGTCTCAGCAAGGATGACGACGACGACATGGAGAACGCAGAAGAGGAAACCGATGATGATGAACATGCTGAAGTTCGTGCAGGTGCTAACAAGGGGAAGGATGCACCATATGTCCCCCACCGGAGAGAGTCAAAGAACATACCGCTGCGAGAGGCGAGGGGGTGTTGCCATCAAAGAGGGGGAGGGCTCCAGAGGATGTTGGACATGGTTCTCCTGGCAAGAGGTCTAGGGCCGATCCCGTAGCTGCTAGGAGGAGGTTCGACTTTAAATTTAGTTTTTTTTGCTTTTGTCTATGTTTTTTGGAACAGAATGATCCCTCGTTGCAAATGATTTCACTAAGCGCGGCAACGAGTTTGCTGTCTGATAATTGCCACCCTTTTTTTCCTCCACATTACACATGCAGTGAGGCGACAGCTGGTGGACGAGCAGTTACGAAGAAACAGGCACCAACGCCAACCCGTGCTTCTGCTCGGTTGAACAAAGGTGCCCCCATTGCTGGTGACATCCCTCCCACCAGGTCTTCCCCTCGTACGACGACGTCCAACACCGGGGATCCTGTCGTGTTGCCAGACCTGAGAAAGCCAGTCAGGAAGTAGGTTTTCCACGCGCTTTCATTGACATAGTGCTATATTTTTTGATTTTTCAATGCATCCATTTAGCTTGTCACATGGGCTTCTGTCATCATCCCCATATGGCGACTGCTGTTTTTTCAAAATGATTTTCCTTCCCTTTTATGAGTGCATGGCAACTCCTACTTGTTTTTACATGGCAACTGCATCTAGGCCAAATGGCGACTCTTACTGCACCCTACATGGCAACTGCCATCTTTTCCCATTGGCTTGTGAGCTCATCCCATAACTAGTTTTGAAATTGCATTACTAGTAGATTAGACATTTTTAGCATTCTTTCAAGTTGGCCAACATGGAAACTATTGATGGATTTGCATGGCAACCACTAACTATGCCACATGGCAACTCATATTCCCCTCACATGGCAACTACAAGCTTTTCCACTCATTTTTCAATTTTTTTTAGATTTGAAACATGGCAAATATTCTTTGTTCATTTTTAATACCTTTTTTCATGTGCTTTCATTTTTGCAGGGTGAAGAAGACTTCTACACGTGGGGCCAAGCATATCAGCAGGGACCCACTCGAACGCCTTCATTCAAAGTTGTTAACAAGGGGCAACTCAGATGTCCATGAGGCCCCAGGCGACAAAACTGTTGCTGCACCGTCAACTGTTCCCACTAACTCTGACGCAAGTGGCCGACCATCTCCACCTGCTGCAGATGTGCAGGCTAGAACAACGGGCATCCGTACATCGGGGAGTGACGAGTCAGTATCTGCCAGGACCGCTGAAATATTGCCCACTCTGCTGGCAATGAAGGATGCTGCTGTGAGCCACCCCAACCCATCAGGAAGTGTTGAAGTGGATGCCCCCAAGACCAACCTAAGCAAGGAAGATTCCCGCTCATCTGACACTGATTCCAAGCGCGTGCGTGGTGGCACTCATGTGCCCACGACAGAAGTTGCTGAGGCGGCAGTTCATAATGATATGCCATTTGCACGTGAGAGTCTTGGCACAACAGCTCCAGCTCCTGGCGGTGCAGATGTTGCTCAGGCCACTGTTCCGCGTGCTGGTCTTCCACCTCGGTGTCGTAGCCCCCGCAAGCAATCAACAGTCGTATCCAACGCACCAGCTGCAGCTAGGAGCAGCAGAGATGAGTCTGGTTACGTCCCTGCGTCCACACTGTTCCCGCCAACCGCCAGAAGCAATGTTATGGAGAAACCAGAAGACGAGAGTACAACTGATGCAGGTGCCAAGCCGGGCATGAGTGATGAAGGTGAACGTCCGGAGCAGACTGTGCCTTTACCCGCAGTGGAAATCCCCAGCTTAAATCTGTGCACTTCCAAACTCCCAATTAACATCGGTGTCCCCTATAGCCCCAATGTCGGTGTCAAAACCGGCGGATCTCGGGTAGGGGGTCCCGAACTGTGCGTCTAGGCAGATGGTAACAGGAGACGAGGGACACGATGTTTTTACCCAGGTTTGGGCCCTCTTGATGGAGGTAAAACCCTACGTCCTGCTTGATTAATATTGATGATGTGGGTTACAAGAGTAGATCTACCACGAGATCAAGGAGGCTAAACCCTAGAAGCTAGCCTATGGTATGATTGTTGTTCGTCCTATGGACTAAAGCCATCCGGTTTATATAGACACCGGAGAGGGCTAGGGTTACACAGAGTCGGTTACAAAGGTAGGAGATCTACATATCCGTATCGCCAAGCTTGCCTTCCACGCCAAGGAAACTCCCATCCGGACACGGGACGAAGTCTTCAATCTTGTATCTTCATAGTCTTGGAGTCTGGCCGATGATGGTAGTCCGGCTATCCGGACACCCCCTAGTCCGGGACTCCCTCAGTAGCCCCTGAACCAGGCTTCAATCACGATGAGTCCGGCGCGCATATTGTCTCCGGCATTGCAAGGCGGGTTCCTCCTCCGAATAATTTATAGAAGATCGTGAACACCAGGATAGTGTCTGGCTCTGCAAAAATAAATTCCACATACCACCGTAGAGAGGATAATATTACACAAGATCAATCTGCTGACGTATTCTGCAGCGTGACGTCACACCACTTCCAAGCCTTTACTCGAATTGTTTTTATTGTTCCACCTCAGTGTGTTTAGTGAGGCGGTTTCCTTGGCACGTCTTGTCGAAGCAGAGATCGTGTTCCCCTTATTCCGGGATTCCCATTAATACGGACGTGGGTAGCCCAACCGCGCCCGTTGCCACGCCCCCTCCATCGAAGGCGGGTTCCAAACGGTCACGGGGATGGCTCTTGGTATTCTTCCTCTTTATAATGAGACCAAGGCCCATTCTTTTTATTCAATCCTCTATCGAATCCGCCCCTCTCCCTGAGTTCCAACACCCAGGGCTCCAAATTCAGGTTCCTTCGATCCTCGACAATGTCCGGTCCTGATCTACGAGGCCGGTAGATGCCCTCCTCCGTCACGGAGGAGGACGTGCTAAAGCTGAGAGATGCCAGGTATTTAACCTACGAGATTTCGCATAGGCTGCCTGCCCGAGGGCAAGTTATCCCAACTCCCGAGCCTGGCGAGATCGTCGTGTTCACGTCTCACTTCCGTCGGGGTTTAGGCTTCCCGACGGATCCCTTCATGAGGGGGCTCATGTTTTACTATGGGCTGGAATTCCACGACCTGGCTCCGGAGTCCATCCTCCATATCTCATCATTCATTGTCGTCTGTGAAGCCTTCCTCCGCACTACCCCTCACTTCGGCTTATGGCTCAAAACCTTCAACGTGGAGCCGAAGATGATTGAGGGGCGTCAGGCAGAGTGCGGCGGGGCGGTTATAAGCAAGAGGGCCGAAGCTCCATGGCCTAGGGGCTCTTTCCAAGAGGAGCTCAGCTTGTGGCAACATGAGTGGTTTTATATCACCGCTCCCCGGGGCAGGAGGCAGAAGCCGCCGCCCATCTTTCGCTCGGGCCCTCCACAGCAGCTGACGTCATGGGTCAACAAGGGGTGTGACTGGGGGCCGCCCAAAGACGTCCCCCTGTTGCAGGACCGGATTCGAGGCCTCCAAGAAAGGGAGATCAATCTGGTCGCAGTGGTGCAGGTCATGTTGATCCGGCGCCTACTGCCCTGCAAACGTCGCCCCCTCCGCCTGTGGGAATTTTATCCGGAGGGGCCGCGAGCTCTTCAACACTTCATGGGTTTGACTCCCATGGAGATGTATAAACTGTTCTTCGGATCGCGAGAGACGCATCCGGAATTGACTGAGGATGCTGGCCTAAGCTGCAATCGCCCGGATACTCAAGTAAGTAGCCCTGTGTCCGGACACACCATCCATTTATTTATCGTGAGCTTGCCTTTTAACCAGCTATCCCTGGACAGGAGTGGATAGCGCAAGCAAAACTGATACGGTGTCCGGCCCCCCTCCCTGAGACCACGTAGGATCCCGTGTTAATCAAAATGTTGGAGGTTGCACCTTCGAGTGAGGGCGAAGGGGGGCACGGGGAAACTATCACCTCTGCCAAGGAGGCGTTTAGTAAGGGAGGAACTGAGAGTCCCTCCTTCCAGGGGGAGAAGAGGAACGCTTCCGAAGACCCGGAGGCCAAGGCCTCAAAACGGGGAAAGAAATCTGTACCGGAAGGTCCTGCACCAGAAAGCACCCCGGCCGTACTGTCTCCTCTGAGGAATCAGCCCTCTAACGAGCCGTAAGTGAAAAGGGGGATTTTATAATTATTAGACACCCCTGTTTAATGTCTAAAGGTAACAAAGTTTTTACCTTGTAGTTCGGATCCCAGCCTATCTCAGCACAGCTCATCTTCGGGAGACCTTCGTCCGGAGATGATGGAAAGCGAAACTCCTTCATCTGCCGCTCCATCGTGCAGGGCGGACGACCTTGAGGTGTCGTCGCGGAGGGTCTCCCCGAATCCGGCGGGGCCGGAGAGTTCGGTGCCCATTGGAGTACGGTCGGTGGAGCTGCAGGATTTGCTTAAGTGGGCGTCCATCTCCGAAGATCACCGTGTTGGGGAACGTAGCAGAAAATCAAAAATTTTCCTACGTATCACCAAGATCTATCTATGGAGAGACCAGCAACGAGTAGAAAGGAGAGTGCATCTACATACCCTTGTAGATCGCTAAGCGGAAGCGTTCAAGTGAACGGGGTTGATGAAGTCGTACTCGTCGTGATTCAAATCACCAATGATCAAGTGCCGAACGCACGGCACCTCCGCGTTCAACACACGTACAGCCCGGTGACGTATCCCACGCCTTGATCCAGCAAGGAGAGAGGGAGAGGTTGAGAAAGACTCCATCCAGCAGCAGCACAACGACGTGGTGGTGGTGGAGGAGCGTGGCAATCCTGCAGGGCTTCGCCAAGCACCACGGGAGAGGAGGACGACTTGGGAGAGGGGGAGGGCTGCGCCAGAACTTCGTTTATAGCTCCCATGCGCCTCCCCACTATATATAGGGGTGGAGGGGCTGGTTTCTTGCCCTCCAAGTCCATTGGGGCGTTGGTCAAGGTGGGAGGAAAGAAATCTCATTATTTCCTTCCCCACCGATTGTTATCCCCCCTTTTTAGGGATCTTGATCTTATCCCTTCGAGATATGATCTTATTCCTTCTAAGGGGGGGTCTTAGTGCGCCTTGACCAGGGGTGTGGGGCCTTGCCCCCACTACCCACGTCCATGTGGGTCCCCCCATGCAGGTGGGCCCCACTCCGGAACCTTCTAGAACCTTCCCGGTACAATACCGAAAAATCCCGAACATTTTCCGGTGGCCAAAATAGGACTTCCCATATATAAATCTTTACCTCCGGACCATTCCGGAACTCCTCGTGACGTCCGGGATCTCATCCGGGACTCCGAACAACATTCGGTAACCACATACAAACTTCCTTTATAACCCTAGCGTCATCGAACCTTAAGTGTGTAGACCCTACGGGTTCGGGAGACATGCAGACATGACCGAGACGTTCTCCGGTCAATAACCAACAGCGGGATCTGGATACCCATGATGGCTCCCACATGTTCCACGATGATCTCATCGGATGAACCACGATGTCAAGGACTTAATCAATCCCGTATTCAATTCCCTTTGTCTATCGGTATGTTACTTGCCCGAGATTCGATCGTCGGTATCCAATACCTTGTTCAATCTCGTTATCGGCAAGTCACTTTACTCATTCCGTAACACATCATCCCGTGATCAACTCCTTGGTCACATTGCGCATATGATGATGTCCTACCGAGTGGGCCCAGAGATACCTCTCCGTTTACATGGAGTGACAAATCCCAGTCTCGATCCGCATAAAACAATAGATACTTTCGGAGATACCTGTAGTGCACCTTTATAGTCACCCAGTTACGTTGTGACGTTTGATACACCCAAAGCACTCCTACGGTATCCAGGAGTTACACGCTCTCATGGTCGAAGGAAGAGATACTTGACATTGGCAAAGCTCTAGCAAATGAACTACACGATCTTTTGTGCTAGTCTTAGGATTGGGTCTTGTCCATCACATCATTCTCCTAATGATGTGATCCCGTTATCAACGACATCCAATGTCCATAGCCAGGAAA